CTGCTTTGAAGTCTGTCAGATACTTCCAACAACTGTGTCATCTCAATTGTTGATGTCTCTTTATTGTACCGTGCAAGTTGAGATTTTCCTGGTTCTTCATATGCCAAATAATTTTGGATTGCATACTGAAGTATTATGAGACCCTGGGTCTTGCTTAAATTCAGTGGTGAATGTTCATTTTTGCGTTTTAGCAGGCAGTGGACCCTGTTGGTTTAGGCTGCAGGTTGCAGCTAGCTTTCTGTGGGTTGTGATTTCAATATCAATTTGGTTTTCAGAGCCTGTAGTGCTTTGCTATTTGGATCTGTCCTGTGTGTACACTGCCCATTGGCCAGTTTGAGATAGGTGACTATTTTTTTCTTTGTTCAATTCGCAAAAGTTTTTGGTTTGCTATTTAGGATAAAGTCGATGCCATGTTCAGCTCTGGAGTGAGCCCAGGCGTTCATAAGCAACCTTATGGAGTCGTTTTTCTGAGTTCCTCCCACTCAGCTATTTCCCCTATACTTTCTACTTCCCTGGGAACTCCCCTTTTTAGTCCTCCAGCCAGAAAGCTTTGTCTAAGGTGCTCACTTCCTGTGATTGTGCCCACATGCAGGGACCAGGGGTAGGAGCACAGAGAGGGGGAAAAAAAGGTTAGGAGAGGGTTTTGCCCCACCCGCTTGAAACCACAGCTTCTGGGATTAGAGAGGATTTCCCTCCCTCAGACCTTTAGGTACCTGTGGGCCCCCTGTTGTTACTGCCTCCCTTTTCCTGCCGAAGCCTGAACTAAAGCACTTCACGTGAAACACTGTCTACATTGCTGCCCACTTCCAGGTTTCCCCCAGTTGATGTGGCAGGATACAAGAGGAAGAAAGTAAACCCACCCTTGGTTCCATGGCCCTTTGAATTCTGATCTTCTTCCCCAATCTACCTGTTATCATTTACTTTTTTTTTTTTTTTTTTTTTTTTTTTTTTTGCGGTACGCGGGCCTCTCATTGTTGTGGCCTCTTTCGTTGCGGAGCACAGGCTCTGGACGCGCAGGCTCAGCAGCCATGGCTCACGGGCCCAGCCGCTCCGCGGCACGTGGGATCCGCCCGGACCGGGGCATGAACCCGTGTCCCCTGCATCGGCAGGCGGACTCCCAACCACTGCGTCACCAGGGAAGCCCTACCATTTACTTTTTACAGTCTTTAAATAACTGCTCCGTACATTTTGTTTAGATTTGATAGCTGTATTCAGTCGGAGGGACAGGGTGGAGTGTTTTTACTTTATCTTAGCTGGCACTAGAAAGAACCCTGTATTGTGTACTTTTAAGAAGGGCATTATTTATTCAACCAACATATGTCCTTATCATATGAGTCCTCACCATGTGCTGGACACTTTAAATATATTATTTGTTTAATTCTCTGACAACTGTTCCCCTTTTAGACATGAGGAAATTGAGGAGTAAACTCTTAAACTAGGTCCAGAGGCACAGATAGTGACAGGCTGGGATTTGAACACAGGACCCAAGGTGTGTTCCCAGGACCAGCATCATCAGACCCACATGAGAACTTGCTAGAAATGCAAAATCTCTAACCCCGCCTCAGATCTACTAAATCAGAATTCTGGGAATGGGGCCCAGTAATTTGTTTTGATGAGCCTCTGTTAATCTGATATATGCTAAATTTGAGCACCACTTCTCTGTGCTGTAGGACTTAACAATACTATGTTTTAGTTTCTTAGCAGAACTTTAATATAAGAAACAGAAGTAGCTTTTCACCCTTGTTTGAGACATATGGTAGTACGTTGAGTGAGAACTAATTTTCTTACTCATGTCACTAACATATAGCTTTAAAATCACACTTTTCTATATTATTCAAGCTTATGGTAGTTTAAATACTATGAATTTTAAAAATGTAAATGTGTGTGTATGCAAAGAAATCAATTTAGATGTGGTTTTTGACCAATAAATCACTTAGCCTCTGGTAATTACTATGTTATATAATGCTCTGTATTTTAAATTTTAGGATATTATTACTGATTTCCCTCAATTTCAGGGTAGCTTTTGATACAGGTTTAGAATAATATTGGGTTGGAAAAAATGGCCCATATTTGCAGGATAGGTCCTATTTTGTGTAATTGTATTTTTTTCACAAAAGATTAAATGTATCGTTATAACTAAATTTAATTTGCATATTCTTGTAAGACATTTTTTTTTTTTTATTGAAGTATAGTTGATTTAAAATGTTGTGTTAGTTTCTGGTATACAGCAAAGTGATTCAGGTATACATAGCTATATATATTCTTTTTCACATTCTTTTCTATTATGGTTTATTACAAGATATTGAATATAGTTTCCTGTGCTCTACAGTACGACCTTGTTGTTTACTTATTTTATATATAGTAGTTTGTATTTGCTAATCGCGAACTCCTAATTTATCCCTCCCCACCTCCTTTCCCCTTTGGTAACCATAAGTTTGTTTTCTATGTATGTAAGTCTGTTTCTGTTTTATAAATAAGTTCATTTGTATCATATTTTAGATTCCACATGTAAGTGATATCATATGGTATTTGTCTTTGTCTGATTTCACTTAGTATGATAATCTCTAGGTCCATCCATGTTGCTGCAAATGGCATTATTTCATTCTTTTTTATGGCTAATTAGTATTCCATTGTGTGTGTGTGTGCGTGTGTGTGTGTATGCTACATCTTCTTTATCCATTTATCTGTTGATGGACATTTAGGTGGCTTCCATGTCTTGGCTATTGTGAATAAGTGCTGCTGTGAACATAGGGATGCATATATCTTTTTGAATTGTAGTTTTCTCTGGATATATGCCCCAGGAGTGGAATTGCTGGATCATATGGCAACTCTACTTTTATGTTTTTAGGGAACCTCCATACTGTTTTCCATAGTGGCTGCACCAATTTACATTCCCACCAACAGTGTAGGAGGGTTCCTTTTTCTCCACACCCTCTCCAGCATTCATTTGTAGACTTTTTAATCATGGCCATTCTGACCGGTGTGAGGTGATATCTCATTGTAGTTTTGATTTGCATTTCTCTAATAATTAGCAATGTTGAGCATCTTTTCATGTGCCTTTTGGCTATCTGTATGATAAGACATTTTAAATAAATTTACGAATCAGGAAAAAAAGTCTGTTAGAGCACATCTTCAGAATCTGTTTTTTTTTTTTAATTAGCTTACAATCCACATATACTTTGAGGTATGTAGATTAGTAGATTAGATTAGTAGGCATATGTAGATTAGTTATGGAGCATTTTCTTCTGTGATAATCTCTCCTCTTACTAATAGAGTAGCTGGCGGTTGGGGCAGAGAAGATATTCTTTATTGTAGAAATAGGTTGGTTTTTTTGTTTGTTTGTTTTGTTTTTTTTGCAGTACGCGGGCCTCTCCCTGCTGTGGCCTTTCCCGTTGCGGAGCACAGGCTCCGGACGCGCAGGCTCAGTGGCCATGGCTGACGGGCCCAGCCGCTCCGCGGCATGTGCGATCTTCCCGGACCGGGGCACGAACCCGTGTCCCCTGCATCGGCAGGCGGAGGACTCTCAACCACTGCGCCACCAGGGAAGCCCAAATACCAAGTTCTTACCATAGACTAGATGCTGTTCCGTTATTACTTAGTATGATAACCACTTGTGAAAAGAAACCATGGATGTAAGCATATAATAAAAATGTGTTATAATCAGATGGCCGTAGTTATACTGTAGTTCATGGACCTCATTTGCCTTAAAAGGCAGATTCTAATCTTTACCTAATCTAGAAATTACCAAATTATATGTATGCTTCCTCTTTTCTGTATTGTCCATATTCCTCTCCCATAACTCTCAGGACTCGTAATCTTTTCTTTGTGCCAGGTATTTCTTCTAGTCCTCGTCATTTACAGAAATAATCGTGTGCCTTTCTCTAATAGAAATAAGGCTTTCTTTTTCTTCCTGACCCTGTCCTCACCATACCATAATCCGTATTGCTTTGTTTTCTGACTGAGCCATTTGGCTCTTCTAGAATATGAAAGAATCACCAGTGAAGTCACAGTCATTTAATACAACCAAGTACAGGAATAAATCACCCTTTTTAATCATGGCATGTACGACCCTTTAGAGTCTTTCTTCCTGGCTTTTCAGGTTGCTTTTTCTTTTACTTCACTCCACCTATCCTGTACTTCAGCCATCTAAACCACTCCTCACCTTTGGAAAGCCAGATCCTGTCCTCTCTGTCTGCCTGAAACACCTTTCTCTACTCTACTCAGCAGGCAACTAATTCATTCTTTAAAACCTAGCTCAAAATCACCTTTTCTGTGAAACCTTCCCCGACCCTCTGCATTAGTTATGATTAGGTACAGTGACAAGTAACAGAACCTCCAAAATAACAATGGTCTAAAAACAAGAGAGAATTTATATCTCTCCTATAACAGTGGACTTTGCAGTGTGGGGCTGAAATGACAGCTCTGCTTCATGATGTCATTAGGGAAGTAATGTCTACCTCATGGCTTCAGAATCTCTCACATTTAACCCTTGTCCTCACCATCCAAAATGGAGCTATCTGTCTTATGCTCTATGATGTACAAGGGAACAAAAAAGGGACTAAGGGCATTTGAGAGCTATCTCTTAACATTTCCCTAAAGCTCCCAAATTATGTATCTGCTTGCATCTCATTGGCCTCAAGGAAGGCCTGGAAATAGTCTTTATTCTTGGTGGCTGTGTACCAGCTAATCGTATTATTATGGAAGAAGAACAGGTATGGAGTACAGCTAGTAGTGTGCCACACTTCCCCAGCTAGAGGTAGTTTCTTTGTGCTTTGTGTTCCCGACAGCACTCTAATTAATTAGTATTTAAGTTGTATTAGAATTCATTTGTCTTCTTCACCAGATTGTGGACTTCTAAAGGCATTCAGGAAAATTACAGCAAAAGTATCAGAGACAAAAGCAGGGAGTGATGTTTAAATACCTATGTGAACAAGGGAATTGCTTATATAGAGCTGATTTCTTAGACTTACATTTTTTTTTCTATTTTCTCCATTTTGTAGAGGGAAGTGGACACTGACAATAGTAGAGGGCATGGCTTCTCCTGTTCAATAATGCCTCAAAATTGATCACACAGAGAGAACACAGTTATTTAAAAGGTGATATATTCTCTGTATTATACTGTTTTTTTTTAAATTGTGGTAAAATATACATAAAAGTTACCATTGTAACCATTTTTTTTATTTTTTATTTTTATTTATTTATTTATTTGCAGTACGCGGGCCTCTCACTGTTGTGGCCTCTCCCGTTGCGGAGCACAGGCTCCGGATGCGCAGGCCCAGCGGCCATGGCTCACGGGCCCAGCCACTCCGTGGCACGTGGGATCTTCCCAGACCGGGGCACAAACCTGTGTCCCCTGCATTGGCAGGCGGACTCTCAACCACTGCGCCACCAAGGAAGCCCCATTGTAACCATTTTTAAGTGTACTGTTCTGTGGCATTAAGTTCATTCACACTGTTGTGCAACCATCACCACAATCCATCACCAGAACTTTTCTATCTTCCCTGAGATTCAGAACCCATTAAACACTAACTCCCTGTTACCCCCTTCCCCAAGCCCCTGGCAACCACCATTCTACTTTGTCTATGAATTTGACGACTCTAGAAATTTTATATAAGAGGAATCTGTATTTGCTCTTTTGTGACTGGCTTATTTCACTTAGAAGGTCTTCAAGGTTCATCGTGTTGTAGCATGTGTCAGAATTTCTTTCCTTTTTAAGGCTAAATATATTGTTATATATATGTACCACATTTTATTTGTCCTTTCATCTATCAGTGGACAATTGGATTGCTGTGTTACACTGTTGTTTTTGGTAAGATTTTTGTTTTCTAAAGATATTCTCCACACAAATAATGTCTTATTATAAGTTCACCACAACTACCCCCAGACACAAACCACATAATAACATATCTTTTTAAAAGGAAATTTAACAAAAATGCGAAGAAGATAAAAACAATCATCTATATTAGAAATTTATTTTTATAGGAAGTAATGCCCCCTCCCAATCACAGTTTCTGAAGTATAAACTAAAAAATAAAATTAAGTTATGAAAAACATTATCCTGGTGTCAAATCTGGAAAAAGGTACAAGAGTGGAATTAGAAGAAATATAGTAGTTTTTCACAAGAAAATATTAAATTTTGTTATATTTAAGAGTCTCTTGATGATATGATAGAGACACAAAGGAGAGTGCAACCTATGAATCCCTATTCTTTTGAAATATGGAAATTTTACCAGTGGACAGTGAGAAAGAAATGGCTATAGCTGTAGCCTGCTGGATTTGCTTTTATGATATTTCTCCAGCATTGAAGAGAAAAGGGTTATAAATGGTGGAGTAAGGAAAAGTAGCTCCATTTCTCTCACCTCACCTCCTTTGTTATCAGATGGGAGTTAGTTTAGTGACAATAATTATTGGATGTTTGATTGCTGGTAATGTGACTGATGCCTAGAAAATTCTGGGGTTTGGCCTCTATCCCACTGTATACATAGTCCAAATTGGTAGTTAAATTCTTACTAAAATTCTGAGTAAGCTTTCAAATAGTTACTTAAATAAAATGCATGTCCAGTGGTTTAAACTGGATCTCACAGATACTTTCCCATTGCAGCTGATTGTTTGGTCAGCTTGGCAAAATGGTGAGTCATACTTCTCTAGCCAGCCACAGACCAGCTGTTGATTTACTCAGTTACTTGAGCCAAGACCGAAGCACCAGAATAGAATAGAGCACCTTGGCTCTGATACCGATTTATCTTTTTCCTAAAAGTCTGGATGTAAATTTCCATCCTTCCCCTAGGTGTTTTGAGTTACAAGAAGCAGTCTAAGAGTTCTTTGTCTTTTAAATCTTTTAGTACTGTTGTAGCAATAAAATTGACATGCCTGAAAGGATCTGAGAAGAACAGAACACATTGTGGTGTTAGCTGTAAACTCTTTTAGGGAAATTAGAACTTGATGTAGACATTAAAAATAGAATTGAATGGTGGAGGACAAAGTAGTGGAGGTGTTTTAGAGCAAGAATTAAGTTTGGATATAAAATGAGGCCTAATTATGGATGGCAGTGAGTGAAGGTCAGCCACGAGAAGCTGTGTGTGACTGTTGAATGTTCCTGAAAGGAAATGAGTCTGGCGGTGTTAGGAGTTAGGAAGAGCGGAGAGACTAAGGTGTTGCAGAAATCCAGGAAAGTGGCAATAGAAATCTGGACAAGGTTATTGGCAGTGAAAGTGCAGAAAAAAAGGTAAATTTGAGAGCCATTCTGGGAAAAGAAACTATAATTGTGTCACATGGAAGAAGAGTAAAATAAAAAAATTTCTAAGAAATTCCGTGGTGTACTGATATCCCATTTTGGGGAGAACTCTTGAATTAACTTTAGATATGGTGAATTTGAGGTGCGATGGGGAATAGCCAAAATAAGACAGATTTTTTAGGCTATTAGTGGACTGAAAAGCGGGTGGAATGTGTGGACTAGACTTGTGCTTCTGGTACAAATCTAGCTGTACTCAAGGAGGTAAGAATTGGTCCTAGAAAATACCTGATTATAACAGTAAAGGCAAGAACATATGTTCTCATAGCTTCTGCATACCTGAAAAGCTCTTAAATAAGTTTTTTTTCCGCCCCCCATTACCTTTATTTCAACTGAAGGGATTAGGTTAGTTAAATAGGTGTAATTCATAAATTACATCCAGGACACTGAAGTTCTTCTCCCATACTATTGAATAAGAAAGTAGAATCTAGATTGCCTTACATAGAAAGATGCAGAACAGGGGCAAAAGAATTTAGATTCTTTCATAAAGAACAACATCTTAGAATAAATAGATATTGTGGCAGAATAATGGCATACCAAGGAGCATTATGTTCTTAAATATTATAAGTTAAGTTATTGAGTTAACTGTATTTACTTGCAGTGTAATTTGTAACATTTGAGTAATCTAGTGTGCAATTGAACGTTTTGTGTTTTTCTTTAGTGGAGCCTTTAGTTGGAGCTGCTGTGCCAAGTGTTTCTTTATGGCTTTCTCTCTCGGAGCAGCTCTTCGTATATGTAGCAAAATATTTAGAACCCTATGGAGTAAAGTAGAAAAGAAACTTGGCAAAAGAGTATTTCTCTTATAATTAGAAATTGTCTTAAGATACAATATGTTACAGCAATGATAAGGCTAATATATTAGAGAAATAATAGCTTAGTGTAGAGATGACTGGCATTTCGCTGAAGATACCTAAGGGGGTAGCGTTTCCCTAGTGCCCTAGTGCCTGCAACAAATACTGCTTACTTCTCACTCGAACCCGCGCCCCCTGCAGTGGAATCACGGAGTCTTAACCACTGGACCGCCAGGGAGGTCCCTGTTCTCTCTCGTGTACACTTCTTTTTTTGCTCTTTATTCCTTCTTTTTATGGTGAAATATAACATATATATAGCACAGTGAATAAAATAGAAAGGTACAGTTTAATGAGTAACTATAAAGCGTATTCACCACCCAGATCAAGAAACAGAACATTGCAAGTATACCAGAAGCCTGCTACGTGCCCCTTGCCAGTCAGACCCCACTTGTATGCATCCCGTCCTATCCTCCAGAAGTAACCATAGTCTCACTTCGGTGATAATCATTTCTTCCTTCTCTTTGAAGTTTATCACCAAGTATGTGTCCCTAAATGATGTAGTTTACTTTTGCCTCTTTTGTATACATATATACAGACATATGTATATATGTCAATACATAATCTTTTGTATCTGACTTATTTTTGTGCCATTTATCCATGTGGTGTGTGTGTATAACATTTTCATTTCTCTGATTATTTGCACACTGTTCCACTGTATGAATATGCCATAATATGTGTGTTCTGTTCCGTTTCCTAATATTGAAAAACTCAGCCTGTGACCATTCTTGTCTATTTTTCTTGGGGCACATGGGCACCAGTATTTCAGGAGTTTATACTTAGGAATGGAATTGCTGGATCATAGGGAATTCACATCTTCCAATTCACTGGATAGTACCAAAGTGTTTTCTAAAGTGGTTATTTATACTCACCCAAGCAGGACATGAGCATTCCTGTTGTTCTCCATTCTTGCCATCAGTTGGTATTGACACACTCAAGTGTTTTGGGCAGGAAAACTGTGTCTCTTATGATTTTATTAAGGAGGATGAGCCCCTTTTCATATTTGAACTTCTTTTTGTGAAGTGCCTGTTAAAAAGGTCTTTTATCCCCTTTTCTATTTGGTTATCAGTTTTTTCCTACTGATTTTTAGAAGTTCTTTATATTTTCTGGATATTAGTATTTTAGTCTCTAAACAATTTTGTGTATTGAGAATTTTGTTTCCTTCCCTGTGTTTTTGATGATTAGAGAAGCCTTTAATTTTAATGTCATATGACTTATTCTTTTCCTTACAGATGATACTTCTTTTTTCCTGTGAAAATTTGCAGATATTTTCTTAGATTTGTCCTAAGTACTTCATATCATTGATGCTATTGCAAATGGTATGTAATTTTACATTTTGTTTTGTTTGTTGCTGACAGGTAGGACCACAATAGATATTTTATATACTGATTTGTATCTACCAACGCTTCCACATTCTTGTTAATTCTAACAATTTTTTAGATAATTTTGAATCTTTTAAAATACACAATTATTTCATCTGAGAATAATGATAACTCTTTTTTTCAGACCTGTAGAGATGAATTTAAACAATGCCTTTTATTCCTTAACTTGCCTTATTCTGCTGATTAGGACCTCTATCACAATGTAGAATAGGAAGGATGATAATAGGTATCCTTTTCTTCTTCCAATCTCAGCATTTCTTCAAGGATAAGGTTAGCTGTCGTTTTTTGGAAATGCTCTTTATTTAAGTTAGGTAAGGTTACTTTTCAGTCTTAGTTTACTAAAAATTTTCATCAGAAATATATGTTGAATTTTATGAAATACTTTTCATTTTATTTTATTTTTTATTTCTTTTTTTTATGAAATACTTTTTCTACATCTAATGAGATTATCATGTATTTGTTGTTCTCAAACTATCAGTGTAATAAATTACATTAATTTTCTAATGTTAATTCAACCTTTCATTCCTAGGCTGTATCTAACTTGATCATTTTTATATACTATTGGATTCAGCTCG